TTGAATGCCAATGGGCGGTCCTGTGCCCTCGTGCACATCTTCCACTTGCATGTAGAGCTGCATGATCACAAGCTGAAAACAAAGTCTTGTGCCGAGAGGCCGAGAGATGCTTCCGACAATTGATCAGCTCGCAGTCCACGATGCGTGGTGTTGATTGCCAAAGAAGGCATTCGACACCTTCAAACTTCAGCAATTTACATGGCTTGTCAGCAGCAGCTCCATCAAGTCATACATCAGCATGATGGATTGAGCTGGACATATTTCTTGTGATATTGCTTGGAATGAAAATGAAAGAAGCACAGGTTTAAGCTGCTGCCGAGCAAACACCGCGAACAAATGATGACAGTTGACAAACAGCGGCGCAACGGGCATTCATAGCAAGCATATCCAGCATCTGCATGGAGTAGCGCTTTGGCTCATAGTGATTGATCCACTTGCTTCGCGGCTTTGGCCTTTGGCACCAGTTCGTTTGGTTTATTGAATGCCCATCGAGCAGCTCTAGTGCGGCATCTCGCTAGGTGGAGACTGTGCAGCGGCGACTTCATCGTCCGTCGGACTCCAAGATAGGGCAGCGAGACGTTGGGGTAGACCTGAAATTCCAATCATAAGTTATCAGCACACGTAAACAAATGCTTTGGTCAACCTCTCCCTGAGACATCCTGGAATCCAAACTGGGAGGTGTCCAACGTGTTTACTACGGGAGCGTTGAGTCGAGCAAGTTGCGCGAGACCTGCCAAGGCATCAACGGCCTGAGCGGAGCAAATCGTATGCTGCAGGCCCGCCCGGAGTCAGCTTTGATCGCAGCGGACTTGCTGTTCTGCCCTGAGCTTTGGACGCCCGGAGGTGGACACACACACACACACACACACATACACACGTACACACTTACACTTAGCAGAGCTGTATGCCTCTGACAACTATGAATGGACACGTGAGGCACAAGTTTCTGGGAGCTTCCTGGACCTGATCCGGCACAAGATTGTGGGTTTACAGCTGTGAGTCTGTCTTTCTGAGTCTCAGTTCAGGGCGAAGTATTGAGATTCGCTCAGCTGGTAGCTCTTCTGACCGAGCAAAACTTGTCGCTCGACCCCTTTTTGACAACTAGTTTCCTCTGCTCTTGGAGAATTCCCGTCCAAGGCAAGGTCATTCATGGTTGTTTGGAGGTAGTCTGGCTATACAAACCTCCTTCCACAAACCATTTTTCTACCGCCCAAAAGTCCATGCGCTCTCGGCGCGCTGCTCATGTGGGTCTCGCGCCTCGCGCCAGGAGTTGAGCCACACCTCGGGGGAGATGGCGCCCTCCTGGCCTGGGTTTGTCTGAAGCCGTCTCGCCGTCTCTGAGATTTTTCGGAGTCTCTATCTGGGTGTGGGTGAAACATGAGTACCCCAAATGGAACCCGAGTAAATGGAAACAAGGACTGAAACCTGCGGTCCCCTGGTGGCTTAATTTTGACCCGTACCCATTCGTCGAGGACCTTTGGCTTTTTCCTGAATGTTCCTGAGCTGGCTTCTGTTTTGCATGTTTCCCTTGCTTTGCTGGTTTCTCTTTTCCTGGCGGTGTCCAGTTTGCACACTCTAGAGGGTTTCTTTCCGGCCGCAGATGTTTGGGGATTCGACTTGAGCTGAAAGAATCAGCTGGATATGAAGTGACGATGGCAGGTTGAGTCCAAATAAATGGCGGTTAGCAAAGGGTCGGTGGTGCAGGAATCGGTTTCTTAGTCCTCCTTGCGCTATCGCTGGCAAACTGCACTGCAACCATTCACTCTGTAAGATACTCCTGTCAATGATGTCCACCCGGTATTGGTAAATGCACGCGGAATAAAGACAAATGGGGTGCCCAAAAAGATTAATAAATGCACCTGGAATAAAGACAAGCACCCGCCACCCCCGCCCATATTTTTTCAAAAAGAAGTCACAAAAAAAATGACAAAAACTCCCCTCCAAATCTCAAAAGGAAGCTCCTACATCAAATGGCAACTCAAGTCTACCCATACTAATCAAATGGAAGCTGAGTTCCAAATCTCAAAAGGAAGCTCCAGCAATACTAAATCAAATGCAAACTCAAGTCTACCAGTACTAAATCAAATGGACACTCGCTTCCAAATCTCAAAAGAAAGCTCCAGCAATACTAAATGAAATGGAAACTCACTTGCAAATCTCAAAAGGAAGCTCCAGCAATTCTCAATCAAATGGACACTCAAGTCTACCAATACTAAATCAAATGGAAACTCACTTGAACTGGATCTCAAGATAGTATTCCAGGAGCCCCCATCGTTGGGGGGGGGACCCCGTTTACAAATCCCAGGTGAACATTTCCTACATGGAAGCTGAATCAGGGAAGCTCACGAAGATCTCCCTTTGAGCAAGGTGGATAGGTGGATGTCAGAGACGTCAGATTCATGTCAAACTGCATTCCCAAAGGCTTCACGCGCTCAGGCTGGAGGTCTACAGAGCATGCGGTGGCAAGAAAGAGACCGAGGCGCGAATGCTGTTGGCATGCGAGGTATGCCATGTTTTGCCATTTTTATTTTTTTTTCGCGGTTATCCCATCTGAAATCTGACTCCATTTGGGGCAACACACATGTTGTTTTTGTTTTTCCGGTTATCCCATCTGAAATCTGACTCCATTTGGGGCAACACACATGTTGTTCTGTCATGCGCTTTTTTAGAGTTCAGCAGACCGACTTGTGACCTTGCGGCATGCTATCCGCGCCTCTTTAGTACTTGACTTCGCGCTCTTGTGCAACCAATACAGTCTGCTCAATCCATGTATGTCGCAGGCAAGCTTTTCAGTATACTGGGTTCTTCGTCTTGACCAAGCCGTTTGTAGCGACTCAATGAGACACACCCAGATCCAGAAACAGTGGGCACGGCCATCCAGCTTGTTTTTGTTTTCTTGGTTAAGCTTGTTGCGGTCATGTTGCTTATTTTTCAATATATTCATTGGCTTTGGGTGAGAACTCTTGTCATTGGATTTGGGCGTTCCGTAGTTTGGCCCTTGGCCAAGCTGACTCGAATTAAGTTCTTAGCCCGAGGCGGCGCAGGTGTTTGAGCTGGACGTGGATTTGGACGAGAGCAGCCTTTTGCTCGGCTCATCGCCACTGGTGAGGGGCTGCTTTTGACCAGACCCAAGGGGGGGTACCTTGAATGTGGTTTCTTGTTGAAACAGGTGGCTGGCCGCTGACCTTTCTGGAAAGAGCGATTCCTTTCCCATGCGGCAGGTGAGTCTGTTCGGGTGAAGCAAACTGCAATGAGTCTGCTTGCCAATGACCTGTTTGGTTTTCTGTGTTTGGCCAGCGTGCAGGGTGCCGCTTTCGAACCAAGGCCAGCGAATCGTCTCGGAGGCGCGGAAACCCGTCCGCCAGGTTTTCCGGGGTGGAACCAAATGAGAACTGGGGATCAGCTTCCTCGCTCCTTGGAAGCAGAAGCCCCAAGAAAGGTCATGGCGTTCGGGGCTTTTGCCCCGAGGCCCGAAGTCTCTCAAACAATTGTCCGATCCAAACCCCTGGGCTTCAATCTTTTCATTCCTTCCAGTTGCTCAGGTCACGTTTGTCATAGGGACCCGTGTGGTCAGAGCTTGGCCGGTACTTTGAACTGGTTGCACCATCCCTGAGTAGAAGCCCAAGATGCGAGTCGATTGTGACCATACTCGACGCATTCTCGTTTGTTTAGCTGGCTGGTCTATGTGCTGGCTTGTCTATGTCCTGGTTGGCTGGCCGGCGGATTGTTTAGCTTGAAATCCAATCTGAGTGAGTCGCCGCTGAATAGGACAAGCAGTCCACCTCGGCCTGAGAAACCTCTCGGCACAGGCAATCAAACGTCGTCATGATTTCCAGCGGATTAGGGATCCTCGGCGTCCATGCTCAATACGTTTCAAAATCGCGGGGCCCCACAAACCGAACCCGAAAGGGGTAATTCCCCTCATGGGCTTCAGGTGCGCACGCATGGGCTTCTCAGCAGCGAAGCCGAGCTCGCGTCCCTGCTGGTAGGCCGGGAGCCTTCCTTTCCTCGGCCTGCGGAACCGAAAGCCGAGGTCGGAAAGGTAAAGACGTGGGTCCCGCCCAGCGGCAAGAGGACCTCCCTGGAACGATGGGTGTTTTCCGTATGACCCGCTGGGGGGGAAACCGAGGGCCCCGTTGAGAGACACCATTTTGCCAAAGGGGAAGGCCGAAAGGAAGCTGGTGTCGGCGATTCGGTGAAAAGTCGCATCTACGCGAAGCGGAAGCTCAGGGAGCTTCATCTGAAAATTTTGCGTGACACGGTCCTGAAACCCAAGCACGGTGGATGGACAAAGCAGCTTGTCGACCGAGCACGCGCGCGACAGAGCAACCCACGAATCGGCCAACCCGTCGATCCACCCTCAAATCGACAGAGGCTGTCGACATGATATAACACCCAGCTGGCTGTGTACGTACAATACACGAGACACAGCAAAACTAAATAAAACTACCCCGCTCAAACATACTCGGATGCAAGCTTGATCAACCAAGCTTGCTTGAGAAAGTGTTGCTTTCAGATCCCCCATTCGCCAGACCTTCAGGGCGCGACCTCTTCTTCCGGGTAAGGGATATGACGAGAAGCGGCAGGAATGGTTCACCACACCTTTTGGCCGGGCAGTCTACGGGAGTCAAACTCCAGCCCTGGCCGAGGCAGCAGAGATGATCTTATCCAGACCGCCCTGGAGAAGGCGATGTAGACTCCATGAAATTCGATGCGGGACCTTCAAAGTGGTCAATATCGTTGGTTGGTATCACCATATCAGGGTACATGATGTCCACATGGCCACGTTCCCCATTGCGACTGTGTCGTACGAGAGCGCCATGATTCATGCAGAGTGTTTAGGCGTGTGTATGTGTGTGTGTGTGCGTGTTTGTGTCTTTTTTGAGTACCCATTTGAAGACGTTTAAAGGTTGGTTTAAAGTTGAACCAGAAGGACAAGCGCCATTTTTCAGGTGCCCTATTTGAACACATACCCATTTGTTTCAAAACAACGCCGCGAGATGACCAAGTTCAAGAACGAGGTGCTGCCGAAACGCCCGGACGGTGCGCCCTTCGGACGATTTTCTGCGGATCCCATTTGGGGTGTGGGTTGAACTCCGCCTGATTGTCTCAAAGTTGGAGATCGGCTGGAGGAAGGCCACCCACATGGTTGTTGTTGGGAAACATGTCACATCTTTTTGCTGATTGTGGTTTAGTGGTTGAAATCCAAATCCGCTTAGCTGCTAAAGTTTGAATGTTTGCTCGCGTTCCAAAGTCAACCAAGCCAGCAGGAGGTAGGACTTCTTTTGAAGACAGGGCATGCTTTCTTGGGAAAGGACACACACACACACACATTCTGGCTAGACACCGCAAGTTCGCGGGCGGGCCACTGCCCACTTTAGCATTGCATATTGCAATTGCTGGCATAATTCAAAAAACGGAACGGTTGTGGCAAACCAACATTTGCCAAGTTTGGTTCCGCTCACTTGTTCACCCTTGTTCAGTTTACTGTCTGAGGGGCCTTCAGCAGAAGATCTTCAGGTATTCTTCGTTTGGAGATCTTAGGTAGGTTTGGCTAGTACATCCGTCCCATGACCTTGAGAGGCAGTGACAACAGTCCTCTTCAGCGTTTGAGATAAGATATCACACTTTGCAGCTTCATGTTTCTCCAGACGTTTCTTTCACTTACTTCAGGAAACACGGCGTCTCCTGCTCACGTTGCCAGGTACCCTTGTCTTTGAGGCCAAAGGTGCGACGGAGCAGCCTAACATGTGGTGTTGAATCGCTGTGGAGTAGGGCAGTGTTTTGACAAGCCGAGCCTGTCACGGGAGAAGAAATGATTTACACGACTCGAGAGAGACAACTGGTCCACAGTTGGTGTCAGCGGCCGTGCCAACCGCCTGGAAACGCTGGCTGGCTACTGCTGCTCCGCTGCTTGTCACGTCTCGTCCCCGGGAAGGTGAGGAGAACGCCATCAATTTGGAAGCACAAAGGCTGGGAGCCAGATTGAAGCGTGCAGATTGTTTGCCTTGGATGTACTCAAGAAGCATTTCATTTAGTTGGAATCAAAGTGGTCGTTTGCCACGGCTATTTATTGACTGCATTGCCTGCAGTGTGGCAAGAGCTGTTGTTTCACTTAGTCTACTTACCAATTCGATGCGTGTCGGGGGCAAATGTCACCCGCCAGACGTTTGCTCGTGCTGCGGCGGTTCCGATTGATGGCCGACATCGACCAGGAGAGATTGTCTTGAGTTTGACCACTTTGGACATTTGTTATGTTTACTGTTTCAGTCAGGCATTTGTTTCAGTCAGTCAATATCCAGAAGCTTCCGCCCTTCCAAAGACATAGTCTACCGCAGCATGCACACCTCCCACAGGATGGTTCTTCCACTTCTCTGGTCGTATTTTGGGGGTGTCCTAAACTGTATACTCATCTTGCATGTTGAAAGGGCAAGCAACGTGCACAGGCCAATTCTTGTTGTCCCCTATTTTAAGGAGCATAGAGTTGGATGTGCGAGCTGCTGAATGTGTATTTATGAGACCATGGCTATAGGAGTGGGCTCAATTACACGGATAATAATAGCAATACAAGATGCAACACCATGGCTTGAAAGGCCAAAATGATCTATTGTATATACATCATGTTTGTGTATCCATTGACAACAGTTTCAACGCACCTCCCTTCGTTATCAATGTCAGCTAGATCTATGTGTTTATAGTTCTAAGACAGATTTGGACAAGCAATGGATCAGGCTTGAACTTTATTCGTGCATTTCTCGTAAGGCAACAGTGATACATGTCAGATTGTCGGAAAGCAAGCTTATGCCTGACATGCCTGCTAGCATTGTCGAGGCATTGAGCCAGACAAACGTCTCAGTCCCAACAGCGGCTTGCTCAATGATTCTGATTGCACAATGCAGCGCCACCTTTTTACGTTGCTGCAAGGCTTCTTTGTGCATTTGCGGGCATGTGACTCAACAGGTGAAAGGTTTGAATATGATGAATGCACAAAGCGAGCTTCAGCATTTAGTGAATGCTTTTACCTCAACGACATTCATGTTCGTGCAAGAGGATTCATTCGGCACATCACCCGAATCATTCAGACAAGAAACGCACCATTTGCGTTGTAAATGAAGACCTGCTGGCATCTCAGTGAAACGAGAAGACGCGCAATTGGGATGCAGCAGGGGTATCGGATGGAACCGCGCGCATAGAAGGGGAGCTATAACAAGTTTGGACTTGATTTCTCATTTCTTTGCGGGGGATCCTGACTTGAGCTTTGCCGTGAAGATTTGAAGATTGACATATAAATCGAAACACTTCCAGACACGCATTCCCTTACAGCCTGATGGATCGGCTGAAGACATGCTTTAGATTGCTATTTTATTGCCAGCATGCCAGTCATGGGCGTTGGACTTGTGGCAGAATTGATGGCAACCTTGGACTTCCGGCACGGCTTGGCCTGCGAAGCTCTTGTCAGCGCGCTTAATTTGGAGTTGACATACTTTCGGGCTACAGGCATGTGTCCATTTGAGGCAAAGCAATGCCCAACAACACCGCATCGGAAGTCTGGCGAGAAGTCGTTGACGGAGGCAAATCAGTGAGCCCCCATTCCAACTGTAATATGCATTGCTGTGGTGCCATTCAACTTGTTCATGGTTTATTTGCTTGCACCACTGAACACACACACTTGGAATATAGGTGTTTCAAGGTGCAGCTCTGTGTGCTGAGCTTATTGGTTTTGTAGTTGCGGTAGTGTCAATTCCACCACCAGGGCCGCTGAATTTCATTCTGAATGTATAACTTGTCTTCCTAGTCTGCTTAAGTAGATGCCAGATGTTTTCGCGGCGATACTGTTGGAACTTGAACCTGCGGAAATGTGGAGAATCTTGTGCTTTCACCAGAAGGTCACCCAGCAAGTCTGGTATGCAAGTTTCAAACGAAAACCACCTGACTGGGACACCTCGCTCTGTAAAAACCGCTTGTTTCCATATGCAGGAAGGCGAGCACGGCCAGCTTTCGGAGGCAGCTTGGGTGAGCCTGAATGGGTGACAGGAGTGGCAGGTAGCCAGCAAAGAGGGGCTAGGTCCCCCAGTAGTGCCCTTTTACCCTTTCTTTTGGGGGAGGGTTCTCCTACTAAAATAGACTGCAGAAAAAGGGGGACCCTTATTCTAACCTCTCTACTGGAAAGTCTATGGGGCATCCATGTAGACATAGACGAATTTATGGTTCGTTGCTGGTTTGCCGAGGGCAAAGGGGCACTGCCCGTTCGTTCCGTCAAGAGCCCCCACACACCTCTCCCGCGTTTTCTCGGGGAACAAGTAATGCTGTCCATAGCTCGTGTACGAAGGTGAAAGCAGGAAAGTCCTGCTAAGATGATGAACAGCTCGGTAAGCTCGGATGCCTGTTACGCTCATGAGCAAGGGACCGAATCGAACGTGATTGCGGGCAACTTGTTTTAGGTTCAGTGTTCATGATACCATACAAAGTGGCCCCACTTTGCTGACACAAGGGTCAATGTTTCACACCCGTGCGTTGATGAATATCCCAGTTGACTCATGCCACATTTCCGCGGAGTTGACCAGCTCATCACCTCTTAGCTGTGCCAGGCATGCCGCCTCCTACAGTGGGCCATGGCGGATGCATCTTTTTCTTCCGCCCGATTGGGTCGGGCGCTGTGAGACGTGGGGAGTTCACATTGGAGTGCCTTCAGATATTGGCAAAAGCGCCTTTTTGGTGGTGTGCCTTTCTTGGTTTATCCAGCATTGCTTGAACAACCGAGGAGTTGCCGAGCTTACCAGTGAGGGCTTAAGCACACGCCGGTACATTGTCGTGCTTACAAAATACTTGGCTGGGCAGAGCAAAAGCTGGTTGGAATCTGACCTCACAAATGTGTTATGCCTCAGTATATTAGATTGTTCAATTGTGCATTTCATGGTCATAAGATTTACATCGTGGTCAGTCGTGTGTGTGTGTGTGGGTGTGTGTGTGTGTGCGGAGCTGTATGCCTTCCTGCGATGTTCATGTCTGACCTACTAGCACACACACACACATGATGCACAGATGCTCAATATTTGTCCGTGTGACAGGGTTGTCAACCAACTGTCACCACCGGAGAACTCAATGACGTCCCTGCCGCGGCATTGTTGAGCAATTGTCGGAAAACGAACACAACCCAAAGAAGCTACATATTTCCCTGCTCGGGTCTAATGCTCACTGCAATTTGACGAGAATGCAATATGAGTCTCCGGGCTGACTTCAGGCAACACACTAGGAAAATAAAGTTGAGCTTAGAGGTCTCAATCGGTTCTCGGATTTATTGGTACATTTTAGTCAAATGCCTACTCTAGCATTGCATAAACTGATACAGTCAAAGAAACCAGACGAACAAGTAAACCAAGAATCTGCTCTGTCCTTTTAGTAAAATAGACGGCCCCGGTTTATGAAACAACCAGGACAACCGGGAACCGCCATCGATTTTGTTTACCGACAAAAGAACCAACAAGCACACCAAGCATAGTAAAGGCTTCAATGTTAGGCTTTGAAGATCCTCAAGTTCATCTAGTTTGTTTTACCAAACCGACCAACAAGGACACCTACTGTGGATGGACGAAATCCTGCACCACCCAAGAAGCCCTGGAATGGTCTGATTCTCTGCCAATACCAACAAACAGTGGTTTCTCATGGTTTCTTAGGTGGTGCAGGATTTCGTCCATCCACAGTATCTTCGACCCCTAAGGCTTTCAAGACCCGTCCGCACCGACAAAACCCTGCGACTTTCCCCCGGCGTTTTAGGTCAGAAGATCGAGGAGTTCCAGCAGTTCGGCACCGCGATCCGCGCCTCCGCCGCGGCCGGGGGCCCCGCAGAGTTCTGTTCAGAACCGGTGCCGGGGACGTACGGACGATCCGTGGATGGCAAGCCAGACAAGAACCAGAGAACCATATTACTCGTAGGGGGTTATCAAGATTGGTTAAAGCAACCAGAAATCCTTAAGGGTTGGTTGGTTGGTTGGTTGGTTGGTTGGTTGGTTGGTTGGTTGGTTGGTTGGTTGGTTGGTTGGTTGGTTGGTTGGTTGGTTGGTTGGTTGGTTGGTTGGTTGGTTGGTTGGTTGGTTGGTTGGTTGGTTGGTTGGTTGGTTGGTTGCTGGGTATATTAGGGGGTTGATTAAGATTCCGTTCAAGGCCCCCAGTTTTAACGTTTGGTAACTTTTCCATGTAGGGGACAAACAATGGTTTTAGTGATTTTCCATACTGTGGATGGAGAGAATCCGCTTCTCGCACCACCGTTCGGAACGCTGGTTTCTGATTTGTTTCCCCCATACATACCAGAGGTGCGAACAGATTTAGTCCATCCACAGTATGGTAAATTAACATACATAGCGCAATCATATGGAACATGTGGCACATAGCGGTAAGGTACAAACAAAATGGGGTTCATGATATCAGACAGTTGTCGGCGAGCGTTGAGCCCCCTTCCTAGATATCCTTGCAGCATATGTTGGTAACCCTCTTCTTGGCCGGACATGGAGAGTGTGAGGATTTTGCTTTGCCCCAGCTGTTGACAATCAATCCTGCAGTAATTGTGAAATCTGCAGGCATGCATAGATATGTTCCCAGAAAGCTAGGAACGGTGCAGGAGAGAGCAACAGCATTTCGTGAGCAAGCCGGGCAGCCTGAGCAGGACCAGGTCCTGGAGCGGCAATCGCCAAGAGAGGTGGACACCAAAATTCATCAAACTGGACTTCGGGTTTGTTTCTCATAATTTGATCGGGTTTCACTCTTAGGCGGGACACCCCCAATGAAAGTCAAGTTGGGTTTCCCATTGCCCCAGCATACCAAATGAGCCAAGCTGGGTTTATGAGCCCATGTCTCAAAGGCTGTGCCGCCAGACTCCGAGAAAAAAAAAAAAAAAAAAAAAACATGCCCCTTCAGGATCGTTCCGGATAAGCCACCAATTGCGGCAAGGGTAGTTAGGGGATAAATCTGTTCGATGTGTGGCTCTTAAGAGTCCTTGTGCAAGGGTAGGCCAAGAAGAAAAGGGTAAATATGGGGATGCAGGTGCAAAGTCCTCTTAAAGTGTCCTTATATCTTAAGGTACAGGAAAAGGGTCCTTAAGATATAATCCTTATTCTGGCCCTAAGAATTGCTGTCCTTATGTCTTAAGTGTCCTCTCTCTTTGGGGTTTCGTTTGGGACGCGGTCAGAAGTCTATGCGGCACATCCCGCGCCAGGCCCAGGCGCTCCTGAAGAAGGCGAATCTTCAGCAGGAGTTGTGGCCCATGCCTCAGCGTCACTACCAGGTTTCTGTCGTGTGGTTGTCTCTGTTTTGCTTAGCAAAACATCCAAACTCGGCAAGAGAAGCCAACATTTCCAGGAAAAGAGAAAGGTGCCCTTGGGGTGCAAGGAAGTTTCTGGTGGTTGCCGGAAGATCTTTATAGTTTTGGCATTGTGTCGCAACCGGTGTCGCAACCGGTGGTTTTGAAGGGAATCGATCACTACTGGAAATAGTTTTTGCAAGGGACTTTAGCAAATGGAGGTCAAGCTGTAGTTGACTTTTCGAAGGAAAACGGAGGTATGGTGTCCGGCCACGCACCGAGGCACTGGCGGGAACAGATGAGGCGGGCGTGGCCGTGGCATCCCCTTGAAGCTGATTGAAACCTGCCCTAATGAACCCGACTGCGATTTTATTCGGTTTCATCGGGATTGGGGGTGGCTGGCTTGAATCGAACGCCTGAAACTTCGAGGTTGTCTTTGGACATACTTCTTGGTGGCTGGTGTCCACAAAGCTCCAAAAAAGGCAGAAGACTTTGCAAATACGGTGAATTCTGCAAAAATCGCGTTTTACTCGCGGGAGTTCTAGTGCTAGTTTGGTCCTAAGTCCTTGTCCAGTTGAGAGATCCTTGGTTCTAGTCCTAGTTTGGTCATAGTCCTAGTTGAACAATCTTTGGTTTTACTGGAAATAGATCAAAATCCGAACTTGAAGTTAAATATGCGTTTAAATGGTTCCAAATTATGAAGGAACCTATAGAGGAAGCCATACTGAAAATTAAAGTACAGTAAGAATTAGAGTTAAATAGTCTAGTCCTCATTTGGTCCAAGTCCTAGTTGAGAGATCCTTGGTTCTAGTTCTAGTTTGGTCCTCTACTGAAATAATTGGAAAGTATAAAGGACATTACAGAGTACATTGTGCTTTAAATCAATTTATATTGATATGTATATTATATATATATATATATGGTATCCATTTTGTCATTTTTGAGCGAACAATTCAATCGAATTGCACTGGGTCTTCGTTACAATCATAAGCGTACACGTTTTCAGTCTCGATTAGCATAGGCATTGTGCGTAGCAGTGCACAGTTGTACATAGAGTGTCATACAGCAGATGTTTGCCATCAGTGAATCAGTTTTGTGCACAGTGCTTGCACTGATTAATCCACTCTTGCAACTAGCTGATATGATATTTCCTCATGAGTCCCCTGAAATCTAGCAGCAACAGTTGTTTCCCATTTTGATTTAATTGGAGTACCTCAATGGGTAACCATGCAAGCCTGATAGAGTTTTACGCAATATTATTGGACGTCCCATCAAAGTTCATGGACACTTATTTGGGAATCAGTGAAGTTATCATTCCGGAATCCTTCAGGATTCCTGCTAGCGTAGTATTGCCCCAAGACTAAAGTGGTATTGCCCAATACTCGCGTAGTCTTCACAGAGTACCTCGAGGGCAAGTTGTTTGTCTGTTTGCTAGCTTATAACCTTGTCCACCTTTTCCACGTTGGTACGGGGTGTTTAATCCGAGGTTAGCATTATATACCCATGTCCTTGCTAATGTTTTCTTAGCCGTTGTTCCTTTTGCCGATATCGCGGCAAGCCGCGGGGTCTAGGCCAACCAACCACGAATTGAAGCGAGTTTCGCACCACTTTTTGCTCAATAATTTGACCTACGTGTCCGTTTAAAGCAGTGCGAGGGCAGTTTTTCTCATTCCCACCTTTGTTTCGCCAGAGTTCCTCATGTTTGTCCCATGCTTTTTGCATGTGTTCCCCATGTTTTAAAATTTTCTCATGTTTCCCCATGTTTCCTCTTGTGAGGGTCCATGATCTGGGAGCTTTAACCAATGCAAGGAAGGAGCGCAAGGATCTCCGGAAGTCGGTGGACCAGATGGTGCCTGGCGCTTGGGAACCCTAAAATGGCTTGGTGAATGAAAAGGACGAAGTAAGAAATCTGCGGTCCATCCATTGTGGCGTAGGTGCACATTTTATTTCAGTCTATTTGAGTGGGGATCGGATCTTCACTGGGGGTACGATTTGTATTTTGACCCATGGCCATGTGGGTATGGGTCAAAATTAAACCACCAGGATATGGACCGCAGGTTTTTCTCCATGTTGCCACTTACCAGGGCAAGCCATTTGGGGTTACCCGATTTTTGACCCACAGCCAACCAACAATCTGCGGCCCAGATCCAGGGGATTTCATTTTCACCCCCAGGTGTTTAGTAGAATGCTTTCGGAGGGATGTGCGTTTAAGTGCATGTGAAGTGTAACTACGTCCGTCGATTTCGGTTTTGCCTGGCCACTTGTAAACGGTTGTTGTCTTGAAGCAGGAACCTTGACCATTTGACCGCTCCAAGATGTTGTTTGCAACCTCGCTCCATAAAGCTAGTTGAAGGGGAATTACAAGTTTGTAGGACATGGCTGGTGAGGCTTCATGTTGGCATATGCTGGTTTCCTTTCAACAGCAAGCAAACATCAAGCGGCATGTGTCAGATGATAGTCCGTTGGTTGTTCGTTGAGTGCCCAGTTTTGACACATGCCCAGTGCCTTATGTTTTTTCAAAAGGTCGCCGGCACTTTGCTTCAAAGATACGTATTATTTGAAGATATGAAGGTTGTCAGCATGAAGCACCGGGCAATTGTGTGTTTGGCACATGGCTGCTTCCACCTCCAAGAAGTAACATGTACTCAATAGTTTCAGCATGTGAAACTCCGCAGAAAGTCTCAGGGTTCAATGCCGAGATGTTTGACAGTCTGATTGAAGAAGACGGGCACGTGCCGTCTCTCTAATCCTCGGTTTTGGCACAACTTCGGCCGCAGGGGATTCCAGAGCCCTACAGCATGGGCTGCCAAACAAAGCAACCTGAGCACCACCCTGAAATGGTAAGGAGCTGTGACGGACACGACGTTCCAGAACAGGTTTTGAGAACTGGCATATCCCATAGACTCCCAAATAGCCTTGACAAATTTAGTGTTCAACACCTTTACCTTTAGGCAGGTGCGCGAAGAAAGCATTCGTGCGTTGGGCACCATAAGGCGACCGCGTCCTTCAAGATGGTGCTTGTTGGATCACTTTCGACCTCTCAACAAGCCCACTTCCCAAATCCAGCCCAGAGTCAGTGGAACCCGAGACAGGGTTGTATTGCAGTTCCAGCTTGCACGGGACAATCATGTGAGCATCGTCCATGGGTCACCCAAATCAAATCATAGCCATGCAGCTTCAGCCATTCGGATCTCGCAGCAAGGCTCTTGGAAATCATGGACCAGGAGCATACCAAGCGCTTTCCAGGCCTGGCTTTGTATTAATAGTCTAACGGTGGTTTGGGGAAGTTATGGGGACTCAACTTCCCGGCAAATACCTGCAGGACCACTCATTTTGTCCCAAGTCCCTTTGGGGAAGCACATGTTTGCCCACTGCTTATCTTGATGTGCGTGTGTGTGTGTGTGTGTTCCTATGTGCTCTTGTTTGCGCCATGCTTGATTCAGCTTGATTGCATGCGAACATGGCACCAAGATCATTTCTCAGCACGTGGATTCTGCAGGTGTTCCCATGGACAAGGAGGACGTAGAGAGGATCATTCAGGCGAGCAATAGATCAGTGCATTCTCAAGTGGCCCTGTGGACTTCCCCGAAGAGTGCTTTGGGTGCGAAAAGAGTACGCCGGTTGTGGAATCTGGCAAGGGCATCCTACGGTTTGTCTGGACTGGTAGACTTCAGCCACCTGGGCCAAACAGACTTCTCAGCTCTTGGAGAAAATGGGGAGCATGTTGAAGGTCTATGTTCAGCGATGTTGGCTCGGTCACTTGAAGTTGACGGTATGTCCTCTTCAGATGGTTCTTTGAATGCTCCTTGCCCGGAAGGGACAGGCAAGCCTGGACCGGGTTTCGTAAGGCAACGAAACTCGCAGGACAAAATGGAACTGGCCGTTCCTTCTGGCGATGTCAGGTTAGCTAAGCCGTGTTCGACTCAAGCTTGGAAACTCAAAGAGGAGTTGCGGCTGATTTGAACTGGACAAATTGTCCGGGGTGGTGCTCTTGCTTTCGAAGCCTCCCAGCCCAATACCGCACCCAACCATGATGTTTGACTGCAGAGTCAAGATCCATTGCAGCTTGTATTGCATGCACGTATCATACTTACATCCATGTCAGGTCTCGTTCAGCAGTCAGTCACTGCAAGCATAGCGTACAGTTGCTTGCTAAAGCAGTACAAATTGTGTGCTTTTTTTGGCCTGCCCAGCCAAAGCTATCAAAAGGCTGCTTTTGGCAACGTGCATTGTGCCGCAATTGTGCCACATCCTCCGGGTTCTAAACTCTGACCTTGTTGCTTTTGAAGGCTAAGACGTGCTGGTTGCTTGAGGCAGAGAGTGGTTCACAGTGGAGGTGAGGAAGTGAGACGTTCAACTATAGACTGCCGCGCCTGTCCGGCCTTTTGATGCGTTTCAGGGTTCTTGGTAGGCCATTCCGACTTTTTTCGTGATGGAATTGGGGAGGGGGGTGGCCCTTGCAGTTTAAAGCCAACTTTCATGTTCCTCAGCTTCTCCCTTTGCAGGACCTCCCAACGCCCCCCCACCTCAAATTGGGTTTGAATTGGTGAAGGCATCCGTTCGTCTCAGGCCCGTAACGTGCTGGAGCGACAGGTCGGGAATCCGAGGGACAGAAAAAACGGCCCGGAAAAGTAGCGCTTGGGTTTTCGGGTCCACTGACCCCCACATTGGTATCCTTGCTGGCTTCGTTTTGAAAATCGCTGGCCACTGCATGTAGGAAGGGGCCGTTGAAAGCAGTTGTTGCATTTCCATCATACCGAAGGGGGTCCAGAGTGCTGACAGCCAGTTGGTCAAAGGCTTCACACTGGCCGCATTGAATGGCATGTCATGATGGATATGAACGCGAAACTTCGACCTTCATGATTTTGAGATTGTGACTGTGCACCACAAAAACGATGCTCTTTGTTCTCGACAAATTGAAGTGTGGGTCAAGTTTTCTGAGTACAACGCCAGCCCGTCGTTGCCGATAGTTTGCCTATACCTGGGGCCGTTACTGAGTGCTAGTGATACTCGTCGACCCAGAAGATAGTGTTGCGAGTTGTGCAATTGTGATGAGCAATAAGAGTATCGGTCATGCAAATGTCGTGTGCTGGCCATATGATATTGCGCGTGCGAACATGCTTCATTCATGGTTCAGTCAATGTGACCGTCATTCAATGTACATGTGTGTGCTTTTTAAGTTGCAGAAGAAAATAATGCGCTCAACTCCTTCGTGTACTTGGCCCTAAACAGTAGATCAGTTGGTTAAACATATAGCATGGCGCTTGTTTCGGTTTTGTGCTATATAGTTATGTACCAGCGGCATTTGCTGTTTGTTCAGTATGCACTCTTACTGAATGTTTGACTACTTGCGCTTTTGAACGGATCGTCAAAAGAACCAGAACCACAGGTGTTGTTTTCACCCAAGATCCAAACATCAAACAAAAAAATCACCCACCCAAAGCCGGCCTTTCTTTTGTGGGGTTTTCTTTTTGGTCGCCTTGTGCCTTTTTTCAGCCGGTGAGGTGCGCGTGGGGCAGCGCTTCCGGCGTCAGCTGCGCTTTACCATGGCGGAGGCCGAGGCGGAATCGGAAGCAAAGCGCGGGACATCCCCGGGGCCGTTTGGGGGAGAAACATGGCCGTTGTTGGGAAACATTTTGACATTTTGCTGATTGTGGTTTAGTGGTTGACATCCCACAGTTTGCATTTTTGCTCAGGGTGTATTGGTTGAAATCCCCACTGAACTGCTAAAATTTACATTGTTGCTCCCCTTCTAGCGTCAACCAAGTTGAAAAACGCGGGGAGCTTGGGGATTGTCTTTTTAGGTGGCAAGCCCAGCCATCCGCTTCCTTGGTCATCTGAGGACAGCCCAGATTAAATGGAAAGTCACAGGAAACCCTGTCTTGGGCTCAAGTACACAGGAAAGCAATGATTATATGTTGGGGGCGGGCCCTAGTTTGGACAAGCCCAGATGAGTGTGTCGTTTTGGAGGAAGCTCCCTTCTGGTTGGCTCAGGGAAACCAACAGGAAGAGAACCATGAGGATTTGTTGGTTGGTTTGAAGTTCAGGGCAACCAAAGGGGTTGCCGAATTGTCGGACAACCCCGAATTGGAATCCCAGACCATTGCGTTTGGGGGTATCCTCAAATTGGGTTTGATGATTGGTTTTGTTGTTTGTTGTTCTTGTTGTTGTTCTTGGAAGGGGGGGGGGTAAGGGGACAAAAAGAAG